GGCCCCCCCCCCCTGTCATTTCTGGCTTCATTTGGGGGGGTACCCGGGCACAACCACGTTGAACCTATTCGTCTCCCCGGCTACAGAACGCCTTTTCGGAAAAATCGGCCATGTTTCGGTCTCCTCTCCTCCGCTACCTCCTCTCTCTCGTACCTTCGGTTTTGCTCGCTTGTTGCACACCTCACGCCCCGTGACGCATACATAGCACCCGAAGGCACGATGGTGAAGCCGTGTGTATTGACCGGGGTTGCCCTGGCAGCGGGAATCGTGGGCTCGGGAGCCTTTACTGGACCTGCTTTGGTGCGAGGGCATGTGCGGCCGGCCTCGTCAACATCTCGTTCCACGAACACATGGTAGGTTGCCCGCAGCCAAATCAAGCGGAGGCCTTCGATGCTCTGCGCACCTCACAGTAGGAATGTTGCTGCTTATCTGTCTTTTGTTCTCCTGGCCCTCGTGAGCCCAATGTGATGTCTTGATTTGCCGCGGTGTTCGTGTTCATGTGTGTTGACCAACGGCTTTTGCCCCAAAAACAAGCGCGCCCAAGTGTCCAACGGCTGGAGAGAGTGCGTGCCCCAACACCGGAGTTTCGTGCCTTGCAATCAAGACAAAAAGAGGAACAGGATGTGCGTGGGCGGGGGTCGCTCTCTCTCTCGCTCTGTCTCGATTCTACCATGGAACTTCCTGTCGAGTGCTACCCTGTAACATCAAAGCGGTGTCTGCACGTGCAGTCGTAGATGTCACACACCACGCGCTACATCCGACTCAGCTGCTGTGTCATACCGCTCCTCGGCAGAAGAAGCAAGCGCGTTCCGTCGAATCAAATCATCCAAAGGCGCACTCACGCCAGCAGGTCAGGTCATGTGTCTCACAGCAACAGCAGTTGTTCACTGCTCTCTGCGTAGACCACTAGTGTTATCGGAACAAAAATGCCCTTATCTGGTTGTAGATGCCGGGCACGGCTGAGAGGCCGGAATCCCGTGGGGAGCGTGACACTGCTCCCTGTCACACGTGGAGCGTGTGTGAGCTGTCAGAGAAGTTTTGCCGTTCTTCATGACACGCACGCATGTTTCAGCAGCGAGCGGCGTGCATCTTGTGATCGTGTGTCCAACACATGTTTCCATTCCAAATCAGTGTGGGCCAAACTGTTCGCGACGGGACCTGCAGTGCAGCGCACGGTTAAACTAGCGTTCGCCCTCCCGAATATATGGCTGGACAGCCGCTGTGACTGCTTTTCCGGAGGCACTGATTCATGCCTGTATCATGTAGTAATTCCAGTTTATCATGATCTACCGACCTTTCAACTATCGCCCAAGCCACTGCTAGCCTGAACGCTCTACGTCCATTTCGGCACCAATACCGTCATATTTGTCCGCTCGTAGGCCACGCCGAGTTTGCTTTTTTGCCATGCTAACCACTTGGCTGCTGTGTTTCCTCTCCCTTCTGCTTCCTACACCACTTCTGATTTGCACGGCTGTGACTTGTGTGTGCGTGCCATCACCTGCCGGTGTACGTGGGCGGGTGGGGGCGGGGGGCGGGGGATTGCGCATGTTTCTGCCTTCTTGCTGCTGCTGGATGCGACCGAACGACCGCGACCGGTGGGTCATCAAACCGGTTCTGCTGTGGACGATGGTGGACTAAATATCTAACGGACGGAACGGACATTGTTTGGCGGAACTGTATATCTCAAACCAACGCTACCATGGGAGAAGGGTACCCCGCATGGCGGTGACGGACGAGCCAACAGAGAAGGAGGAGACGAAGGGAGCGCTCACCGTCGCCGTGAACACCGAAAACACCGAGTTTAGCGCGGGCGTGCTCGGTGGGCTCGCCGGTAAGTTTTTGAGGGAGGGGGGGGGGGGGAACCCAAACGGTGGCGGCCGCAGCCGAATTTCGGCAACTTATGCTAATAGCAGCAGAAGCGGCAGGTTTTTTTGCCCGCTTTTACCTACAACACGCATAGTGGAGGGTGCTCAAGTACGGGGTATTCAACACGCCCCATCTCGATTGGCAACTTTGCATATGTTGCGGGGAACCCCTACCTGTTTCGTTGCCTCTTGAGTTAAATTCTCAAAAAGAGTTTTCATGCACCACGTACCTGCATGGTGGTGAAGTGTTACAGCGGAACCATGGAGGATTTTTCCCAGGAATCATTTGCGGTACATGCGCAAATGCATACTTTGCCCCACGAGTCCCGGTGGAGTACCCCGGAGGGTCTTTCCCAGGAGTCGTTTTTGCGGTACATGTGCAGATGCATACTTTGCCCGAGGTCATTTTTGGTGGCTCGTCGTGTATGTCGGCAGTTAGAAGTACTAGTTAGCGTCTCTCTTCGTGATCAATGAGATGCTCTTTTGCCAGATTTCGGCCGACTGTGTGGACGCCAAAAGTAGCCTATTTTACATTATGCCGTTGTATCGCAACAGATGAGATACCTACTCTTACAAGTTGAACCGGCTTGCCGCTCGACGATGGTTGCCCTTCCCCTTCGTTGGCAGCGGGAAAGAAGTTGGCGAAGCAGAACTCGATGTTTGGATGTCTCTGGACGAACTAGACGCTCCGCATTCCAAATTCATTTCGGCGTGCGTATACCGAAGGTCAAGGCTTGCTGTTTCGGTTACATTGTTCTGTGCTTTGCCGTGCTGCTCCTGTTGTTGGCGTGCTCGTGGCCTCCCTACTACGAATGGTGTAACGGTCGATTTCTGTCGGCCGTCGGTATTTGTGTTGTTTTTTTACCTCAAACGGGTCGCACGATCTTGCACCCAGCGAGTGCATCTTGGAGTATCGACCGCCGCCACCCCCACCGCCTGGTATGCTATGTATCGAAAGTCGCGATTGCTGGCGCCAGCATAGATGGGACGCAACACACATACACACACACTGCTGCCTCGATTGTGCAGCATGAAAGAAGAGCTTTGGACCGAACCAGGAGATATGTAGAAGCGGGCAAAAGCTTATGCACAAACTTGAGCTTTCAAGAGAAGCGATGTAATGTTGACGGGTGCATTTTCTTTTTTCATCCGTGGGCGCGTGAAACCGCCCGTTGTCGCCTCCTGGACGCAGTGGTGCGCGGTCGTTGTTCGGCCTCCCAGAGACCGGAAGTTGTTGCGCGCCCCGCGTTATCGCTCTTCCGGAACCCGGTTATTTGTCGAGGCGTATTGCCCTAGGCGCCAGCACTGCTGCTGCTGTTGTTGGTTCTTAACTTCCTGGACCGCGGCAACATCAGGCTCTCTTCTTTCTTGTTGTGGTATTGCGCATCAAAATACACAAGAAAGACTGCCTGCCAACCACTAACGGTATACAAGGTGCTGCTCGCAACCCTCGAATCATGAATGAAACAGGCACTAAAATCTTAGGATAATAGGTAGGGACGCCGCCGCACCACATGGACCACCAGACCGCTATTTTATCACGTGTTGCATACTGAGCACTCGGCCGCTCACACGTTATTCCTTTGTTAACTTTTTGGAGGAGAGAAGCTAACGCCATGTAGCGCGCGATAGCGATTCGTAAATGCCCGTTGCATGTACACGCTTGCGAATCTGTGTAACCCCGCGAGTAGTGCGCAGCATGATATCCTCCTGTTTCACGTTTTGCTATCTGTGGGTATACAGATGTGCGCTGCAGAGTCACACTACACAACCAGCTGTTACAATGGCTGGAACAGCCAACGGCAAAACATCCGACACATGCACACGATTATTCGCATGTTGCTTTCCCGCTCTAATTAGACTGGCTTCTTTAGATTGGTGAGCCAATTTGCACGATGGTTTTGGTCAAGAAGAGACGCACACACACTCACACTGGTTGAGCCGTTTCGTGTATCTTGGTCGATCCTAGTAAAAATGAACAACTCTTGTGTGTATGCACACATGCACACCCACGCGCAGGCTTCTTCATCGGGGGACCGGTTCTCGCGGCCGTGCTGGCGATTGCCGCCAACTACGGCTCAAAGCAGGAGAACGAGGCGGGGGTAGCGGTGCGCGGCGTGTCCGCCAACGCGATCGAAGCGTTCAACTTCTTGACTACGCTTAACAGCAAGTACGACGTTACCGGTGAGTGTCATGTTCCGACAACGTCTATCTGTGTTTGTTTTTGGCGACAGGCGTGGAGCCGATGGATGGAGTCAGGGTGAGAGCCTCTGAGAGTGATGGGGAGTAAGGCCTACGGGTAGTCTCTGCCGCCGTCTCTCCCTCTCATAAGTTTGTTAACCGTCACTCGCAGGTTCTGTCGAATCTAGTACGGTGTACAGTAGCCCCTCTTGCTCAAGAGCCCCATATGGGGGCGCACAGACGAGAAATTCTCAGCGGTAGCATGATAGACACGCCCTTGTTCTTGAAACTAACTGAATAGGGTTAGTCTGCGGGCCCTCACTGCTGTGCTGCTGTTTGCGTCGACCCTCGGTTCCTTGATCCCGCAGGGGAATAGGCTTAGTTAGCTGTGAATACATAGTTCCTGTCCAGTAAGGGATTAGATGATCGCGTGTGGCGGAGGAGATAGGAGATGGAGGTGTCGAGGCAATTATTTCGTTCCGCATACGGAATGCCGGTGTTGATGTTGTGCACTCCGTATGGTTATTTTACGCACGATTATTGCCGAAATTGCCATCTTGTTGGGCCAGAAGGGATGGGCTGATGAGGAAACCAAACCACAGGTCGAACTCGTGATACTCGCGCACGGTATAGGATGAGCTCAGACCAAGAACAAATAATGAAGAGGATTTCTCCGGTGTAATTACCTACCCCACATACTCGGGGTTTTGACTTGAGTCACAAACTAATTTGGCACGCGGTGGGAGACTCAGATTTTCTTAGTGTGTCTTCAAACATTCTATCCTCACGTAGTGTCGAGGTGAACAAGTGACACATTCGTTGCGTGAAAGCTCACGGCCCCAGGAGGCTCGTAGCCGAAGGCGTCAGTACCAGCCGACCTATCCGATTTCGTCAGGCCGTCGCCTCAGAAGACCCCCCCCCCCCCCC